TGCTCCTCTGATGCTGCTTGGCCTGCTGTGTTCATCCAGCTCTGCACCTTGTTGTCTCAGATTCTCCAGCATCTGCAGTTCCTACTATCTCTGGCTTTCCTGACAATCAGCAAGAGTTTCATATTCATCATTAGACTCTTAATCCCAGATTTTTTTTGTTGGGTTCAAATTCCACCTTCTGCCATGGCAGGATTGGAAACCATGTGTCCAGGACATTATTTGATCTCTGGATTAATAGTCTAGCAATAATGCTACTAGACCATCGCCTCTGTTGAATCTGGATCCAGTTCAGTCTAGAACTGCACCTCAATATTGCTGGCTGAACAGAAACTGCAGCACAGTGAACTTCACAATGACCGTCAATTTTTGTATTCTGTTTCAGCCATAGATCAAATTTGATACTTCTATCAGACTTGTGATAAATCATTTCTTCAAAATGAGGGCCTAAATGAAGAAGCAATGCATTGACATGTTGGCTTGACTGATATGTCTTCTGACAAAGACTGCAATGAACTGTTATTTAATCTGCCTTGTCAAACTCCCAGGGTTTATTGTGGGAATCCACTCAAAAGTTCCATCTTGGCATTTCCCATCTCGGCTTTTCTAATTTCTTTAAGATGCTTTACCGTCTCTTTAAGATCCAATTATTTATCACACCATAGACTTGCAGTTACCTTCTTCACCAAAATCTTCTCTCTTATAGCCTCACATAGACTCTTCAATGTGTTATGCACCTTTGAGATTCAAATTTTCACTTGGATTCAGCTCATCCATCAACTTTTCTCTTGTAATCTCATCCTCCACAACACACTCCAAGCCCTTAACCTCAGGACGTGTGGCCCTACCTCCTTATACATCTAATTCACAGAGATTAATCTCTATCAGATCCCACATCTCACCCTTGCTTGCATTTACTTGCTGACTCAAAACCTACCACTTTCCCAGTAAAACGGAATAAAACCACCTCCACCTCAAACGTCTTTTCTAGTTTTCTTTATCCATTGCCTGTTGAGACGGATGCCTTTGACAGTACATTTCTCAATTATATTAGTTCCAATTTCAGGCAGGTCTTGTCTGAGAGACCTCCTTTGGAAGAAGTCTTGAAAACGTGTTGCAGTATACAGGGGGTGCCAATTTACAAAGCTTCACAGGAGTGTATTTTTAAAGATCTGACATACGAACGTTTCTTGTACTTGTCTTGCTGTTCTTGTGTTACAGAGGGGTGGTTGACACTTCTCTGATAATTAAAACCGAAAACACCTCGAGAAGCTTGCCTTGCCTCATAATCTGTTAAAGGAAGTGTGAAAAGTGGTACAATCTACTTCTCACCCCCAATCTGTTATAACAGAGTGGTTCAATGGAAGAAACCCCTGATACTTTATAAGCAACAAGTAACAATTTATTTAGCTAACAACAGTGAACAAAACTAACAGAGCTACTAACAAACCGAACAAATTCCCCCTTAGTTACTAACTATTCCCAAATAAAACAAAATTCTAATGGTACGCTGTTCCAATAAATATAAGTTCCACTTATATAAACCAAAGTATGAAGAAAAAGCCAGGATAAATCTTCTGGAATGTTCTTTGCCTTCTCTGCTGTTTTCAATTCTGGAAAGCATTTTCCTGTCGAATACTTGTGTCAGGAATATTAGCTAAGAGTGCCGTACTACCTTTATTTAGATGGTGCTTCCTCTGAGAACTTCGACATTTCTGTGAGATCAAGCGAGTTTCTCTTCAGATGGGCGTTCACTCTCACCCAGATTTTCAAATAACCTCTTCTTTTATCCTGTTGATGATTTACCAAATTTCTTACAATAGGATTGGTCCTAAGCTGTCAAAACCATCAGATTTAAATTTAATTGGGTTTTGTATCTAGGGCCTTGTTTAAATTAATTGGCTAAATTCAAAAAACTTGTTGACTTGGTAAAAATGCTGCTTTGCCTGCTAACAGTATAGCTGTTCTGATACAATGTTTCAATTTCAGGAACTCTGTGCATCTGCTGCTGCCCACAGACTTTTTTTAAAATCTCCAAGCCTAAAAAACAAATCATTTTTTAAAAGGGACTATGCACTCTTCTACCTATCATTTTACAAACATCAAGTATTCTGCCCAACTTCACAATGCCTCCCTCCCGCCAAACCATTATGAAAAGATGGCTTTTTTTTTCTCTAAATCTTAGTGCCATTATTACTAGGTCATTAATCTAACGTTACACATTTCATACTAATTCTATATACATTTATTAACATTGAACACTACAGTTTCTATCTTATATAGACATTTTCCTTTTAAACCTGTGATAACACAGCCACAATAACATTTTCACCACCCACAATATGTACAATCTGTAAATTAAATGCTTGTAACATAAAACTCCAATGAAATAGTCTTGGTGTTCTTTTCTTTAAGTCTTTCCAAAAATGTCAAAGGGCTGCGATCAGTATACACAACCATCTCTGATACATTGTTTGCAACATAAACATTAAAATGTTGCAAGGCCAGTTACCAAACTCAATAACTGTTTTTCAATGGTTGAATATTTTCTCTGGTGGATATTGAGTTGCTTTGACAAAAAAACGGATTGGCCTTTCAATTCCACAATCATTCTCCTGTAACAAAATAGTTCCAAGCCCTACAATCGCTTGCATCAATAGCGACTTTAAAGGGTTTCAAGAATTTTGGCATGGCTAAAACTGGTGCGGTGGTTAACACTGCTTTTAAATTCTGAAATGCCTCCTAGCATTGGTCTGTTCACTGAAATTTCATGTTCTTCTTTAACAAATTCATCAGTGGTGCCACCACGCTGCTAAAGTTTGGTACAAATTTCCTGTAGAATCTGCTCAGTCCCACAAAATCATAACACCTCCTTCTTCGAGGTTGGTCTTGGAAATTCCTCAATGGCCTTCACCTTCATGTTCCTTGGTGTCATCAGTGTCCGATGTTGTGTCCTATGAAGTCACTTCCACCTTCGCGAATTTTGTTTTTCACAAATTTATGACCAACTTTGCTTTCAGTAGTTCTCTCAAAGAAGTCTGCCAAATGCACCATGTGATCTGTCCACAATTGGCTAAAGATCACTAAATCATCTATGCAGACGGCACAATTAGTTAATCCTGCCATAATTCTGTTCATAAATCTTTGAAATGTGGCTGGGGTGTTCTTCAATCCAAAGGGCATTACTTTAAATTGGTATAGCCCATTTGAGGCTACAAATGCAGAAACTTCTTTCGCTGTCTCTGACAAAGATATCTTGCCACTAACCACAAAGAAAATCCAACTTTGTGATGTAAGTGGCTTGTCCAACTTTTTCCACACAGTCCTCCTGCCTTGGAATTGGCTACGAGTCCGAATTGGTCATGGTGTTGACTTCTAATAAACCACACAGAATCACTGAGTACCGCCAGGTTTGGGAACTAACACATTTGCCACTCACTTTGACTGGGCTTGATGTTTTGTTGCAGCATTGTTTCCACTTCCTTCTGTACCTGTGCTGCTTTGAGAGGATTAAGCTGTACGGTGTTGTTTTATCAGAACAGCATTCTTTATGTCAACCTCACGTACTATGGTATTTGTCCTCCCCATTCTATTTTTACATATGTCCTGACAGTGCTGCAACAAGCCTTTCAATTCAGTTCTCTAGTTCCTGAAACAGATATCTTACTATCCTATCCCATTCTTTCAGGGCGTCCTCATCATTCCATTTATTATTAGGCACATCAAAATTCACCTCATCTGGATTTGATTCCTCACTTTGAGTGGCAGTAACTAATACCTGTTTCTCAGATTCCCTTTCCCTGTCATAGTAAAGTTTCAGCACGTTCACATGACATACCCGATAAATTTTTTTTTTTCAATCTGGCATCGTTACCAGATAAGTCACC